TTCAAAGCCAAAGGCAGCAAAGATGGCAGATCAGGGCCTTTGAAATTGAGCAAAAGTTACCTGAGAGCACTGCCCCTGCTGGTCTGCTTAGACCACCTGAACCAGGGCCATTCCCCAAACCCCCAAAGGTAAAACTGAACCCACCAGCTACATGTAAGAGAGATAAAATGAAAAATCCACGCATTTTCTTTTTATTTAGCAAGTAGGATTTATTACCAGGACAGAAAAGCTCCCACAGCTAGAGAGGACCTGAAAGAGGTTGCCCCATACATTTTCTAAGAAATTAATTTATTTGATCAAATGGCAATACATGAAGATATCGTAAGTGATAAGGCTCTCTCAAAGTGTATCTTTATCATCAAGTAAATGTTTTCAATGGAAATGGCACCTAAAAAGAGAAAATGAGTTTCCTATAAATAATGTGTCTGTATAAGGCATCTGTAAAACCTTTATGTATTTTAAAACTAGGTTTCAAGTACAGGAAGTCCCCAATGTATGGATAAGTTCTGTTCCAAGAGCACATATGTAAGTCCCACTGTTTTAAGCTCAACAAAGTTAGCCCAGATACTCAACTAACACAATAGGCTATAATAGTACTGTACTAATTTAACAGACTATACTGACACCTGGCGGAGAGAAATAATACATTAAAAATGCAGGTGTGCATTGTTTAAAGTTCATAGCTTGAATGTTCATATGTAGGGGACTTACAGTATAACAGAAAAACTTATCAATAGTACTTAAAAGTGGATTTCTTAAATGCATAACACCTACAGCATGTCGTTATCCACAAGGGATTGGGGAGCGGGGGCTGTGAGAATTGAAACATCACAAAGTGTTGTCCCATGTGAACAGGGCTGAGGCAGTAATGGTTCCTCAACCTTGAACTCCCTGCACTGCATCCTACTGTTCCAAATCCTTGAGACTCAAGTGAGGGGGGAATTTCTTTTTTCTCTTTTGAGTTGGGGTCTCACTTTGTCACCCAAGCTGGAGTGTAGTGGCACCATCATGGCTCACCGCAGCCTCAACCTGCTGGTCTCCAGCAATCCTTCCACCTCAACCTTCAGAATAGCGCACATCATCATGCCCAGCTAATTTTTGGATTTATTGTAGAGACAAAGTCTCGCCATGTCACCCAGACTGGTCTTAATTGGGTTCCGGCAATCCTCTCTCCTTTGCCTCCCAAAGTGCTGGGATTACAGGCATGAGCCACCACATCTAACTGAAGGTGGGAATTTCTAATCACCCTAGTAGGGAATAGTTAGAAAAGGAAGTTGGGAAACCAGAATTGAAAAGGGTCAGGGGAGGGGAAACCAAGGAATGCCAGGGGCAGAGGTTATCTGTGGAGCAACTTTAGAAATGGCCAAGGAAGCCAGGCATGGTGGTTCATGCCTGTAATTCTAGCACTGTGGGAGGTTAGGGTGGACAAATCACTTGAGCCCAGGAGTTCAAGACCAGCCTGGGCAACATAGCAAGACCTTGTCTCTCTAAAAAAAAAAAATCAAAAAATTAGCAGGGAATGGTGGTATGAGCCTGTAGTCCCAGCTACTCAGGAGGCTAAGATGGAAGGACCGCCTGAGCCCAGGAGGTCGAGGCTGCCATGAGCCATGATAGTCACGATCATGCCACTGCACTCCAACCTGGGCAACAGAGTGAGACCCTGACTAAAACAAAACAAAACAAAGCAAAACAAACATCACCCATACATGATCAAGGAAATAGATTTTTAAAAAAAAATCCAAACGGTGGATCCTTGGGGTAGCACCCTGGGGTCTGTAGGAAGGAGGGTGCCACGCCCCGCTGGTAGGGACTGACCTGCATGCCATGTGCTGGGAGCCACCACATGCACTCGCACAAAATCCTTGCTGCAGGCCAAGTCATGACCTGGATGTGCTAGGGACAGGTCAGTGCATTGGTCACACCATTTTTTCCCAAAGATGTGTCGGCATCCAAGGGATTGTCTTAGGGTCCATGATGGGATCTGGGAGGCAGGAGTTGGCAGGTCCAAGTCATAAAATCAGAAAAGCTTCAGATGTGAGAGAACCAGACACAAATGAGGTGCATCTCCAGCAGCACAGCTCAAAGGTGCCCAAGGACTACAGTGAAGCTGAGTGACAGGAAGAAATGGAGAAAATTCCAGAAAACTAAGGATGGTCATCGAAAAATAACCGCATAGCACCCGTGACTACTAATTTAAGATACAGAAACATCACTGAGGATTTATATAGTGTCTGTGCTATTCATTCTATAAATATAAATACTTATGAATGCTTTCAAAATATTTTAAATGACACATCTTTCTACTATAAATATTACACTCCAGATTTGTACAACTGAGTTGATGTTACATTTAAACATAGTAGATTGGGGTTATATATAAAATAACTTTTGCAGACCATTTACTGAACCTTGGTTACACAGTGAAGTGAATGCTAAAACATACAAACGCGCACACACACACACACACACACACACACACACACACACACACAGAGGAAGCATCTTACTGGGGGCTCTGGAAGCAAATATGTTTTTATCTATGTATTTATGCATTATACAAAGATGTACTTGTTCATTCGTATACATGAATTCAAATACTCCACAGGAGATCTTACACTGAAAATACTTTTCTGTTTCCTTATCAGCTTCTTTGCTTTCTTCAAGTCTACATGGGAGGGCTACCCAGAGGCTTATGGCTCTTTTTCTCAGAGTCCCATTGTCTTCTTTAGAGGGGTGTATTTAAAAATAGTTTCACGTTTCCCATCAGGCTAAGTGGTTCCTTTAAGATTCCTAACCTTGAGATTACAATCTTCCTTATCAATGACACTGATACACACACACACATTTTAATCAGAATAGTAAATGACTTTACATGGCCTACTTTTAGCTGTGTGCTTTTAAAACAGGTTTGCTCCCAGCACTACAGAAAATAACCTCCAAACTAATCCAGGTTGCTCACTGGAGATGACCCTCTCTGCTGTCTGGGATTGACAGAGTGAGGCGAGCCTGAAGGTGGGACAGGATAAGAAAACTCCAAGGCTCTGTGCATCCACAGAACATTAAAATGTGGCTGGAGCAGAATCTAAAATAGCTTTCCACTCAGGAAAGGGTATTACATTTGATGACTCTATGGAGTGATTTTGTGAATGAGTTGTGCACATGTGTAAACTCAATGAGCCACCTGACCTTACTCCAGGGACTCAAGGAAAGCAGTACCAGGATGTCATAGTCGCAGCCATACTCTCAGATACAGAGACAGAGAGTTCAACCCAAAAGAGTCTCACAATCTCAAAGCCAAGGCTGCCATTCATCTTTGCTTCACTTCTCCAAAATCAGGTCTCTGATTTAGCTAGCTGAAGAGATGCTTCAGCAGAAACGTGAAATCAGTGTTGGTTCACACCGTGAGGCTAGGGAACCAACACTTCCTTAAAGATGCCAGGAGGTGGATCCCAGTCTGTGTCAGTTTTCTCAGTGAGTGGCATGCACATTTAACTCCAGTGAGATTACTAAAGAATTGACTTTTAAAAACGGATTTAGGGAAATGAAGTGATCCTGGGTTAGCTTATTTCTACAACTTATTGAACAGAAATCACCTCAAGGCCAAGCGATGCTGCTTTTGGCTCAGTTCACCTGAAAGTAATTTCATTTGGAAGTCTTCTTATCTATTTAATGGAACAGGGGACTGACTCAAAGTTGGTCTAGTGGATGAAACAAAATAAACATGAACAAGGCACAACCAGCATAGCCAGTCAATGGACTTCACTCAACTGGGCAGCCTGGCCAAGTGACACAGCCTCGCTGAGCAGACAGACTGAGGGGTCTCCATCAGCCAAATACCACTGTTTCCCAAACCATGATGCTGGCAGAGAACAGAACTCGGGAGCCAAGGCCCTCACAGCAATACATGGCTTGGGTGTCCAGGGATGACCTATGATGAACCATCTGCCCCTTGGCGTGTTCAGATTCACAGCTCTGGCACTGGGCACCTGATACTGTCTAAAGAGAGATCTCTATAGCTGGGCATGGTGGCACATGCCTGTGTTCCCAGCTACTCAAGAGGTGAAGGTGGGAAGATTCCTTGAGGCCAGAAGCTTGAGACTAGCCTGGGCAACACAGGGAAAGCCTGTCTCTTAAAAAAAAATTTAAAAACTTAGCTGGGGCAAGTGGCATGCGCCTGTAGTTCCAGCTACTCGGGAGGCTGAGGCAGGAGGCTGCTTGAGCCTAGGAGTTTGAGGCTGAGATGAGCTGTGACTATGCCCCTGCACTCTAGTCTGGGTGACAGAGTGACACCCAGAGACCCTGTCTCCTGTTAGAGAGAGAGAGAGAGAGAGAGACATTGATTTATTTCTGCTCCTAGAGGAACAATCTGAAACTTCTGGATACAGACCAAAGAATAAAGCTTATCTTTCTGTCACCTCATCCTATGGTGCTTGCCCAGTCAGTTTGCTTCCCTATCCTCCCACTCTATAACAGAGGGTGTGGGACAAGGTGGCTCCAAATCACAAGAAAGTTGGGTTTAGCTGAAGGCTGACTCTGAGCTCAGAAATGCATCCATTTGTTATCATTTGAGGTTTGGGTTTCAGACCAGCTTATCAATGGCATAACCCAAGGGTAACATGAGCAATGACTGATGTGTTTTGTTCATTATAAAGCTATCTACACAGTGCCCGAATAAGTAAGGTGATCTGGGAAGGGAACACTTCTGGCCTGGGGAAAAAAAGAAAACCAGTCACATCACAGCTTTCTCTAAAACTTCCCATTAAAAAAATCATTGAATAACACCTGAGATTCCCTGCCTTTCAATATTAGCGTAGGCTCCATTTCAAACTTGCATTCTTTGTTATAATTATCAAATGTTCAATCCATTGCCAGGGCAGAGAAAAACTGTGAGGGGAAAAAAACCCAAACAAACACACAAGCTGGAAAAATAAGTGAAAAGGCATTTGCATTGACAGGGTGCTAGGATTTTAAAAGTTAAAACAATAATATATCAAGAAAATACCGTGAAAATATCTATCTCAAAATAGAACAAGACTTAGTCGGAAGGCTCAGTAAAACAATTACTTTAAGAGTTGGCGAATAAGAAGGACAAGTAGAAGACCTTTCCACCTCTGACCCTTCTTCAGTCTCCTGCCCTCAGACTCTCCCAGCAGGATAATCCCAAAGCCACGACAAAGTGCTGGTATTTTTCAGGATCTTTTCAAGACAGTTTCCGTCTTGGTAACGCGAATGGTGGTGCTCATCAAGGCAACTGATGGACTCTGAATGCATTTGGAGACACAGGCTCAAAGACCTCATCGTCGCCTTCCACCCCTTCTTCTATAGGCTTCATCTTGGCAGAGGCTCGCTGGTGTGGAGAGGACATGTCTGGGGAAAGACACAGAAAGGAGAACTGCTCAACGTACGACCTGCTCTGAGACCAGCATGATGCATCAGTGGGAAGTTCCAACTGGAAAAGCAAACTCTGTGGAACTCTACAACCAGTGTCAGGAATGTCATTCCCGGAAGCATTCTATTTTCAACCCAGCATTTCAATAAAACAACCAAGTCAAGAAGAGATTCTCGGTCATGAGAACAGATGTGGGTAGATTCCGCTCCTGTGCTCGGAGGACCAGAGCTCCTTCAAGAGCTGCAAGTCCCAGTGGGTTGCTCCAAAGTTTGCTTAGGACTCAGGATGCATGTCCCTGAAGTAATGTCACACGTGGGGACTCGAGTCCCATATTGACCTTTGGAAGTTGAGTCCATTCCTAATTTCCCTAAGGAGTGGTTCTATTCTAAAACTGTGAAACCTAATGCCATTTTCAATGCCACCTAAAAGTAGATTTCTTACCTCTACCATTCCAGCCACTCCCTGGACTGGTGTGGAAGAGAGACAGGGGGAGGGGAAGAGAGTCCAGGCACTAGGGGGGTGGGGGGGAGGGAGAGAGCCAGGCGGAGGAAATATGAAGGGGGCCAAAAAAATCTGGAATTTATTTATGAAAAATGGTGTATTTAGTCTTACGTGTTTAAACTTCAGTCACCTTCAAAGTACTCTCCATTTGATTCAATACACCTATCAAAACCCTCTTTCCATTGCTCAAAACAGCTTTTGAACGTGTCAATGTTGATGCCTTTCAGTGCTTCTGCAGTTTTTGGTTTGGCCTCTTCATTTCCCTTTGAGGACATTTTTCATCCCAGAAAACAAAAGTCATCCAAGACATGATCGGGTGAATAGGGAGGGTGGGGTGTGGGGGTCACGCCATTCTTAGTCAAAAACTGTGGAACACTCAGCGCAGTGTGGGCAGATGTGCTTGTAAACCACCCATCAAGAAATGCACACGTGTGTTGAATCTAAAAAAAAAAAATTCATTGAAGCTGAACGCAGCCTCTCACAACAACACTAGCGGGGACACTGATGCTGATGGGTCCCTAGAACACTTACCTAGCGGGGGAAGCCTGGACTTCAAGGAGTCCACCCCCCAAAATATAATTCCAGGTTTTTCTGGAGGTCCCCCCGACGCCATACAATCCTGGGTGGCAGCAGGGGAAAGACCATCCTTTAAGGATACTGTTTAATCAAAGGAACTAAGAAAGAATCCACCCATTCAGCCGCTCATTGGTTCTTGCATTCACCAGATGTTATTGAGCATCTATCGTGTAATGGACACAATGCTTGACGTAGAAGAAAATACTGTCACGAAGTAAGAGTAGAAGGCATTATCAATAGACTTCCTGAGGTGTCCAATGAGCAGCTCATGGGACTACATGAACACAGACTTCCCTCCCGACAGTGAACCCATGACAGGTCCCACCAGTGTTCCCTGTCCCTCCTGACAGGTCCCATCAGTGTCTCTGCCTGCCCCACCCACGCCCAGGTCTCTCCTGCAGTCCAATTGCGGGACAGAGTGGCATGCCGCCAGCCAGGGAACGGCAAACCCAGGCTGGGTGAAGGTTGAGGAAGGAAGGACAAAGGATGAGAAACTGACTCTTCCACACTTGCTAACAGCAAAGGAGAGTAAAGGGGTTGATTAAGACATGAACAAGATCCGTTTCAGGATGGCGACGAACGGTTGTCAAGATGTCCTGTCATTCGCTGGCATGAGTCAGCGGCAGACAGCAGGGTCGGCCAGCACCGAGAAAATGCCCCAGTCAGCAAGGGGGTGGGGTGGAGGGAAGGGCATGAGCATGTCACGAGGCTACTCCCAGGAGGAAGACTGGGACCAGGGTGAGCATGCCGCCCAGACTCAGCCTGAATGAGTGGCTGTTTCCCCCCGCCCCCACCCTCATATGGTACAGGGTGAGGCGGCACATAGTTTCAAGTCCAGAGGCTCAGGAAACATTTCCAGGGTTCAAATTCCTGCTCTGCAACCTGCACTCGGTTACTAAACCCTTCGAGGCCTCTGTTTCCTTATCTATAGAAAGGGGATACTCATAGGAACTGTTTCATAGGGTTATTCAGAGGATTAAACAAAAGACTGCATGTAATGTGCTTAGCAGGGTGCTGGGCCCATAGCAACTGTCACTAAGTGTCATTTATTATCTACTATGCAGCCACTGCCAAACATCTGGGGAAATGCTGCTACCAACAGTCATTTCTTCCAGCACAAAAAGATAATTATGCAGGGCTGGAACATGGAGTACATATTTGCAGTCAAAATACTGAGCTTCTGTGGGCATGGCAGCTCATAGCTTTAATACCAGTACTTTGGGAGACCCATGAAGGAGGATCACTTGAAGCCAGTTAGAGACCAGCTTGGGCAACATAGCAAGACCCCTTCTCTACAAAAGTTAAAAAATTAATCGGGCATGGTGGCGCATGCCTGTAGTCCCAGCCACTTGGGAGCCACTGGAAGTTCGCATGAGCCTGGGAGATCAAGGCTGTGGTGAGCTATAATCACACCACTGCACTCCAGCCTGGGTGACAGAGTGAGACCCTGTCTCAAACAAACAAACAAACAACCCCCCCCCCCCCAAAAAAAACCCCAATTGAGCTTCTTGAAAGACAAATATCAGCATCAACTGTAAAACGCAAAACAAAACAAAAAACAAAAAACCACCTCTGTTAAGATGGTCCCAGAATACACATCTCAAGCAAGTTATTTCTATTCTTTTCTGTGCAGGTGACATCAAACACACCAGATACAACCTTAATTCACATGTCTGCTCAAATGACAGTGAAAATTATCTGTGTGACCTTGGGCAAGTTACCTTACTTCTTTATGCATTCATTTTCTTATCCGTAAAACAGGAATTAAGAACAGCGCCCATCTTGTATGGTTGTTATAAGGATTCAATGACTTAATATTTGTAAAGTTTTTAAATCAGTACCTGAGATGTAATAATTACTTTGTAAATATTTATAAGAATATAAAAATTAATTCATGGGGTCTTTGGAGGGCCCTGGCCTTAATCATGAGAATATTTGTGAAAATTCATCATTGCCCATAGGACTGGTCAATAAAGTGGGCCAGTGCTCAAAGAGGGGCTTGTGTTTCTCAATCTGAGCTGTCCTGAGTATAGCAAAATTGTCTTTAAAAAAAAAACCAAAAACAAACCAGCAATAGCCATGGCCTCCATAGTATTTCTAGCCTCAAGTTTTGATTTGGTCTCATAAAATATTAACTTAGGCTGAGTATTTGCTATCAGATAAAACCCTCAGAACAAACAATAAAACGGCAAGTCTGAGAGTATTAAATCAATAATATCTAGCATTTAGGCATAACTGTACAATGCACACAATGGAAACACACCCAGTTTATTTTGTCTGAGGCAATGACACTGATTGGTCTCCAGTTTTTAAGCCCACCTATTAAGCCAGGTGACATTCCATAGTTATATAGAGGCTGCTGTCTGACTCTGTCAACTACCACACCTGCATTTTATCACTGAGAGAAAACAGAGAGGACCCAATATAGATGAAGATGGTCAAGAGAAAACTCCCCCAAACGTTCAGCTTTTCTGTGAGTTTACTTCATTCTCACTGTACGAGGTTCAACAGTTAGTTTTGAAAATTCATCCTAGAAAAAGCACTCCAGCCCTCATTGCTAAGTATCATTACGGTCACTTTCAAAGTATACCCCTTAGAAAGCTATGCACCAACTCCAGCGCCAAGTCCACCTGTCAAAACAATTTTGGAACTCTTTTTCTGGAATGGCCATCAGAGCTGTTGTCGTATCACCCCTGATGTCCTGAATGGCATAAATGTCTTCCTTTCAATATTTTCCTTATCTTTGGGTAAAAGAAAAGTCATCGGGGGCCAAATCAGGTGAGTAGAGAGGGTGTTCCAAGATGGTGACTTGTATAGTGCTGCCGGCATAAGCGCATGGTAGCAAGTTCGTAAACTTCATGATCAGACTAGCATAGCTTCCCAGGGGGAGTACTTTGAAGGTGACTGTAGTGATACTCAGTAAGGAGATATGGAGCCCTTATTTCTAGGACAAGTTCATGAACTTAATTGTCAGACCTTGTATTTGGTTGGGCAGAAGAGTTGTGGTACTTACTAGATAACATTAAAAGAATACTAAGAGCTATTTGCAATCCTTGGGGTGACATCTGGGGAAGTTGGGCCGCCTCCCTATCCCCCTACTCCCCGTCGTCTAAGCTCTTGCAAACTCATAGCTCTCCAAATACAACCCATCCTCTTCCTTTCCTCCTCTTGCTTTTCTCTCCACTTGGAAAGTTCCCTCCACTCCACTGTCCTCAAAGTGCAGTTCAGACTCCACCTCCTTCATATGTGCTCCTTCCTGATGCTTATGGGAAGATTCCACCCTCCTCATCTCAACAGCTTCAGCCCTGGCACACTCTGCATTGCACTGTGGTTGCAGGGCTTGCATCTGTCCCCTACGGGAAAACAGGCACCTTGAGGGCTAGAACCACGGCCTCTTCTCCTGAAACCTTGCAGAAGTACCCCACATAGAGCCAGTCCCTTGATCCATACTTATGTACGTGGTGACAAAAAAAAAATCTCTCTGAAATGCTACACAGGGAACTTCAGGAAGGGCTCTGAGGATAGGGGCAAAAGACATGGCCAGCATGTTTAACCTCTGACAGGTCAAGCCCAAACCCTACCAGTGGGACACCCCCAGGATTCCTTAAGCACAGGCAGGTCTCAGGGTATAGTAAAGCCTCACTAGGAAAAGGGACTGTTGGCATCCTGTAACATGTCCTCTGAAGGAATTGTATAATTGACTGCTTAGAGCATGGACAAGAAGCTGCCCTCTCAAGGGAACACCAACAGGCTTAAAAACACCATCCCCTGCAAGAATGTTTGCATTTAATCATCAAAAGGAATCAGTGAGTGACTCTGAGGTGCTGGGTTAAAGGTTGAGGAAATGCAAACAAATCAAACCCAGCCTCTGCCTCTAGCTTATTTTATTGCTCAAGACTCA